GAATTGAGTCACAGGAATATAAGGCAAATTACACAATGTGATTAATCCACTACAAATCAGATTCAGATAGAAACCATATCTTTCCCCAAAATTTCAGCTTTTTCATCCTTTTAACCACACTATGCTGACTCTCAGAGTCCTCATTATAAAGTTTAAATTTTCCCTTTCTAATCCCAAATGAGCTTGCTAAAATATATAAATTTTAATTTAATTACTTGAACATCTTATATAAAACTCAGATGAAATCTGGAAAGACAATTGAAAAGTATCTGATAAAACTGAAATTGTTTTCCTGATTGTGACTTTAAAATATGCCCTAACATTCACTTTCCATCAACTGTTCACTTCAGAGGAGAAGACGTTAAAATGAGTTTCCAGGAATATCTTAGTTTTTGCTTCCTGGTTTCATTTCATTTATAACAGTTTTATAATGATGGGTTGCTATTGGTTTGCATCAGATAAAGAGGAATTGTGTGTACCACTTCCCAACTCTGTGATTGGTGATGTCACATTGGGAACTTGATATGGCCATGGCCATGGAGGGAGTATTTGTACCACAGGAAAAGGCTTAAACTACAAATCAGCCCCTTCACCCCTACCCTGAGTCAATCGTTAAACATTTATCAGCACACAGCTGTAGTATAAATCAATGTATCTCTGCTACTGGGAATTAGAAATGGTAATTCTCCTGCTTAGAAATCTATTTTAGCAGCCTCACTTCTGTGTGTTTGATTACAGCTCACAGATTGCAGTGGGGGAAGATGCCAAGAAGGAGATGACCAACCACAGAGCAGTCACTGAGTTTCTTCTGGGATCTTCCAATGACCCAGGGATGCAAACCCTACGTGGTGTCTTGTTCCTGAAGGCTTACCTGGCAACCCTGGTAGGAAATGGGCTCATCATCTTCCTCGTTCCTTGTGATCATGGGCTTCACACTTCTATGTACTTCTTTCGGAAGAACTGGTCTTTCATAGTTATCTGCCCTATTTCTGTCACTGTTTCTAAATTTGTTCTAAACTCTCTGATACACAAGAGCTCAATATCCTTTCTTGGGTGTGTTTTACAGGTTGTTTTTTGGTTGTTGTTTTTTTTTTTTTTTTCATGGTTTTTGCTTCTGCTTAAGTAGCCATTCTCACAGTGATGTCCTATGACCACTATGTGGCCATCTGCCGTCCACTGCCCTATGAGGTCATCATGAACAGAGGGGCCTGTGGAATGCTGCTGGCTTCATATGTCAGTGGGGGAGTCAGTGGGGTAATGCACACAGCAGTGACATTCTCCATAACTTTTAGTTCCAATAAAATTCACCAGTTTTTCTGTGATATTCCACAAAGTATTTTGATTTCAGATTCCAAGAAGAACACAGGAGAAATTGGAATCATTGCATTTATTTTTTGTGTCACACTAGCTTGCTTTGTGTCTGTAGTGTATTCCTATGTCCACATTTTCTCCACTGTTCGAAGAACCTCCTCTTCAGAGGGCAGAACCAAAGCCCTTTCCACTTGCATCCCTCATGTAATTGTTGTGACCTTGTTTGTTCTGACTGCTTCCTTGGACTTCCTGAAGCTATCCGCTGACTTGAGTTCACTTTTAGATTTCATTTTGTCTATATTTGACACAGTGCTGCCTCCAACACTTAACCCCCTCACACACAGTCTTAGAAACAAGGACATAAAAGTAGCTCTGAAGAAATTATTTGCCATGGAAGTATTTAAATTAAATTAAACATACTTGGGAGATTTAGAGAGAAGTAATATTTCTTCAGTTCCAAAACACTTATTATTTTCAAATTTTAACATTTCTAAAATATATATGTCTCTTAAAATCAGTGAAGTCTTTAGGCAAATTGGGATTAGTGACATAGTTGTCCTTTTGAAATGGGTTTCAGAGGCATGGAAAAAATAAAACTAGAGATATGATTGGAAGATATCTCTAACCACTAGTAATCAGATGTTTGTGGATATAGTTGGGTCGGTTGGTGAACTAAATTTATTTAGTAATATCAAGAAACAAGGTTAAAAGGACCAGCATTCCTAATCGAAAATCAGCTTAAGAGGGAGTTACACTGTTTGTCTGCATTCATCGCTAAATATATATACACCTATTTTACATTGTGAAAACTGCAGACTTACACAAGGCAAAAAAACAATTTAAATAAGTGTGTTTATTCACACATTGGACGAAAATACAGCAGTGATGTTTAGCAAATTCATATTGATGCAAACAATCATAATAAAGGTCAAAACACAGACACCAAAGAAACCTTACAGTGTAATTCCATTTTTATAAAACATAAAAGCAGACATAATAATTGATAGTTTGAAGCCATCATATTTGTTACCCATGCGACTTAAAAAGGGCATAAGGAATACTCTTAAATGCTGGTAATAATGTTTTTATTCATGTGTGTGCTAGTTACATTGGTATGATTGCAAAAAAAAATCAAAATATACACTTAAGATTTATGTGATTTTGTCATATTGTTTTATGTATGAATTGGTCAAAAAAAAAAAAAACAAAACCCTAAAGCCTAAAAACAGTTGTCATCTGGTCAATAACAAGTCATGGTGACCCCATGTTTTTCAGAGTAGTACTCCGTAGGGTTTTCAATGGCTGTAATCTTCCGGAAGCAGATTGCCAGACCTTTCTACACAGGAACCTCTGAGTGGATTTGAAGTGCCAACCTTAGTAGCTGAGTGCTGAAGCGCTTGCATCACCCAGGGACTCCATGAATAGGTTCATACATTCTATGGTGAAGGCATTAGAGCTGTTCCCAGGATTTTCTCTAATCATGAGGAAAACTGCTATGATCATTCTCGTACATGAATTTTGGTGCAGGTTTGTAGGTATTTCTGTTGCATGTGTACCTGGGAGTAGGATTGTTGTGTCATAAGGTATATGTATGTTCAGCTGTAGTAGATGCTACCAAACGGTTTACAAAGGGACCTCACAAAACATACACTCCCTCCAGCAGTGTATGAGAATTCCAGTTGATTCAACTCATCACCTACAGTTGGCACAGAATAAGCACTAGTGTTTGTTAAATAAATAAAAGCTAAAAATAAACTTTACTCTTAAAATTCTTGAAACTAATTCCTCTTCTCAATTCCCAATATCTCCAACATCTGTCTTCATTGTCCTATCATCTTAATGGGATATATTTAAGGAGCCTTTATGAGCAGCAACGCTGACGAGGCTTTGTAGAGATGATTTCTATTGAATAAAGCTATTGAGGCACAATTACCTCTCTTCTCCTCTTTCCTAACCATCCTCACCACCACCTGAACCACATGGCCACATTCCATACTATTCTTTTTCAAGTTTACAAAGACAAGGTATTTGCCATGTGTGTGGTGTATTCGTATGTGTACGTGTATAAGTGAGAGAGAGAGATCAAGGCCATAGGAAAATTAAATCAATTTTTTTTTGTAGTTTCACTAATAAGGCATAAAACGTGGAAAGTCTAATTTCCATTCCTTACACCATTATCGAGCATAATATGGTTGTTGTAGTTGTTTTGTGCCATCCAGTCAATTCAGACTCGTAGCAACTGTATAGGACAGAATGGAACCTCCGCATAGGGTTTCGAGGTTGTCATCTTTACAGGAACAGATTGCCAGGTCCTTTCTCCCGTGGAAGTGCTGATGGGTTGGAACCTCTGATCTTCCCATTCGCAGCGGAGCATTTAACCATTGTGCCACCAGGGAACCTTAGCATAATAGTAGGACTGCAGAATTTTGGTATTTGTAAGAGATCCAAGCAATCATTCTGTCCAATTCTCCTACAATGCCATTTATTAAGCAATTATATGTATATGTATGTGTGTGTAATGTATCACAAACGACCCAGTAAACAAATGCAGACTTGACTTTTGCAATTGAAAAATCTTATCATTCATGTTTAGATGAGGTGAATAATTCTTCATAAATATAAGTAATTACATGATATACCTACTATATTAATGAGAAAAAAATTGTCAATGTAAATACCACTAACACTTGTCTTATTCCAGGACATTTAAAAATACAACGGTTCTCCCATTTCCATGGCCACATGCTAAACAGCTTCCCAGAAATCCAACCATTAACGTGGCATGCTCGTGGACATGCTCAGTGGTTAACCGACACGAGTAAGCTTGTTGACTGTGGACACTAATTACTTCTTTAGAAGACAAAGACACCCCTGTAAGATAATTCCCAGTCACCCCTTATTAAGTGATGACAGCCCTTAACTTGGTCTCCCCATGTATAAGCCACCAAGCAGTGGGCACCATACCACCATATTCATGCCACACTTTGCAAACAGGATGAGTAGAGAGAACATTCTCCCTGCTGCCTGTAGAAAGGTAGGGGGCCAACAGGCTTAAAAGATTAAGGTTTTTTTTCTAGGCTCCTCTGAGATTGATGAAGAAAATTGAAATTGACTAAAATGGCACTGAGTATTGTTCCCAATTTGAATTTTAATTAACATATCAAACTGGACATTGGGCAGAAATTATGAAGCTGAAAATTTTAAATAATGATAATTACTTACAATATCTTACAATTACTTACAATGTAGACAGGTGTTGGAGATATTGGGAATTGAGAAGAGGAATTAGGTTCAAGAATTTTAAGAGTAAAGTTTATTTTTAGTTTTTATTAATAGATATGTTCACGATATATGATTATAATGATTTTTATAATTAATGTTCTTTCCCTAATTAGAATGTTGTTGTTAATTCTAAGATTTTATCCTTTCCGCTTTCAGAAACTTAAAATATATTTACTTTAATGGCAAGTTAATGGCAGCATATGATAGTTCTTTTTGTTTGTTTTACTTGTAATGTCAGTAATTAACAAAATAAACTCCTTGGCATATACTCATACTTTTCTTAAATTGTTATTTTACAAGACACAAAATCTGGGCTCCATTGCTGCAAGAGAGTAAGTTATATAGCCAATTACAAACATCATGCAGGGCAATGTTCAGGGCAGTATGCTCAGTAAGAGAAAACATCTCTATTTGGACGGAGCAAATAGGTTTTTCAGGGCCACCTGCATGTCTGTGTTTCTCAGACAGTAGACAACAGGGTTGAGGCTGGGTGTGAGGATGGAGTAAAACACAGACACTAGCCGTCCTTGAGTGGGAGAGTAATGGGAAGCGGGTCTCAGGTAAGCAAAGCTCCCAGTGACATAAAACAGAATGACAGTGGCCAGATGAGAGGAGCAGGTGGAGAAAGCCTTCCAACGGCCTTCAGCAGAGTGGATCTGAACGATGGTGGAGATGATGAGAACATAGGAGATTATGGTGAGGGCACAGGCCCCGAGAATGATGCACCCTCCCACTACAAATCCACCTTCCTCATTGGTATGGGGGTCACTGCAGGAGAGTCTCATGATGGGGGAGCTATCACAGAAGAAATGATCAATGACGTTGGGCCCACAGAACAGGAGGGAAAAGGTGTTAATTGTGTGGAAGATGGCGTAGAGAGCTCCACTCAACCAGGCTACAATGACAAGCTCTGTACACAGCTTTCTACTCATAATGACCCCATAGAGAAGGGGCCTGTTGATGGCCAGACAGCGGTCGTACGCCATGGATGTGAGCAAAAAGCACTCAGATGCACACAGCATTACAAACGAGAAGAGCTGAGCCACACATTCCCAAAAGGAAATGACTCCTGTGCCCATGAGTGAATTGATCAGTGCCTTGGGGATGGTGACTGAGGTATAGCAGATGTCCAAGAAGGACAGATTTTTCAGGAAGAAGTACATAGGGGCGTGGAGGCGGCTGTCTATGGTCACAGCTGCGATGACGGAGATGTTCCCCAGGAGGGCAAAGAGGTAGATGAAAAGCACAAATGCACAGCTAACCAGCCTCAGTTCAAGAAAGTCTGAGAAGCCCTTGAGAATGAATTCTGTCACAGTGGTCTCATTTGTCATTTCCTTACCAAGCCTTGGAAATACAGCATCAACAAATATTCAAGATAGCTGTGTTCAAAGGACACGATCATAAAGCTATCCATGGAGGTGGTCAAAAATAAAATTGAATCCCAACCATAGTTCATGAATACTCCTCGCTTTTCCTTCTCTCTTGCAGCTATTCTGTTAACTCTGGGGCATAAAAGTTTCTTAAGAAATGGAGGAGAAATAAATATATATTCTTTAAGTTGTTGGTTATCTACACGCATATATGTCATAATAACACATTTCAAACTAATTCACGTTACTTAATGCAAAAGATGAAATAGTTTGATTCATTCAGTGATCTAGGCACTGCATTGACTAGATGTTGTGTGGGACAGAAGCATGGAAAAGGCTATAACTCAAATGCTCAGAGAAGTGGAGCAGATAATGTGAATAATTAAACAGGTCAGGAACAGTAGTGATGAGATAGGTCCAAATAGGAGCTGCCTTTATGAGACTGTAGGCATGGTGAGGCCAAGTCTTCACATTTTTCAGTAGGAATAAATGTTCCTGATTTTAGGGTAACATTTCCCAGTCTGTCAAATAGAGCAACAGTGGGTTGGAGGCACCAAGGGCTGGATTTCATCAAAGATGTGTGAAACCTATGTGAGATTATTCGCTACAGATTAGTAAATAAACACAATTAAGGCCGGGCGTGCCTTGCTTAATGCAAGCCCACGCTTACCTTGCTTACAGATTCATCCACTCCTGGCTGGATCTGATTCAGGGGCCTCTGCTACACCCAAGCATGTATGCAGGTGGGGATAAACCAGTAAGCAAGGTATGGATCGACAGTGAAACACAGGTGAAAGTGTTCACTACAGATGAGTAAATACACACAAGTAAGCCTGTGGGTAACTTGCTTATCGGGTAATCTAGCCCTGCATATATCCAATCCCTGAGTTTCCTCTCACAGCAGAAATCTTATTAGACTATCATCTCAAAAGTCTTCTTCTGTAAAAAGCGTGTAGGACTGAGCTCAGGAACACTATGGGCAGCTGGCTTTGCATCAGTACCTACCAGTACAGCAGACTGCCTCCAACCTGCGGCACTTCAGTAGCTGGGGTTCATCACCCTCGCTCCACCTGCAAAGCATCAAGACTTTAACAGAAATTACCATTTTAAGTAAGAATGAGAAACTGAATGTGAAGCACTGGGGTCTGACTTGAGCAAGAGAGAATCAGCTGACCTGTCATTAGGAGGAAGAGAAGATTGTTACTTGGAATCAGAGGCAGCCTCCAAAGGCTTGGTTGGAGTATACAAACTGACAACAGCGCTGGAAAAAAACAAGTCTATAACCAGTTGTCCTCAAGTCAACTATGACTCATAGTGGCCCCATGTGTCTCAGAGTAGAACTGTGCTCCATAGGGTTTTAAATGGCTGACTTTTCAGAAGTAGATCACCAGGCATTCATTCTGAAATGCCTCTGAGTGGACTGGAACCTCCAACCTTTCAGTCAGCAGCCAGGAAGTGTGCATTCAAATATGATTTTTAAAGCGTCTATTTAAAATTTCTTTCGAGTCTGTCACCTCCACAACTTTTATTGCTCATATTATATCTTACATGTTTTTATGTGACAAGTTTTCAAAAGTAAATAATTTAATTTATTCTTCATGACAGGAGGTTTGAACTATGTTCTATGTCCCAATCATTGTATATAAAATAATAGCAGTTATCTCTGGGAATAGGGTAATAATAATATTTTTAACAATTTAGAATTAATATGAATTGGCTTTGTAATCACAATTTTTTAAAAATAAAATATAGTGAAAAATTACTTCAAAAACAAATTGAGGAGTTCTTCTACTTTTCTAACTTCTTTAAGGAGATGGTATATGACTTAGAAAAAGGAAGAATTTTGGAGACTATCAATAGGAAACAAAGCAGATCACTGTTTGTAGTCTTTTTGGAGGAAAGAGTGGGATTTCCAAGGAGAATCAGTCTGGAAGTCAAGGTCAGCACATTTGATGAGCTGCATAAAATTGACTCCCCAGTAGGAGAGAGACAGAGAAGAGTGACTCATTCAAATTTTTTAAAACTTTTTTCTGCCCTCAAGCACTAACTGAGCATTGCTCTAATAATTAAAAGATTTAACCTTCCCTAACTTACTTTTGGCACAGCGGTTAAGAGTTTGGCTGCTAACAGAAGGTTGGTGGTTCAAATCCACCAGCTGCTCCTTGGAAGCCGTATGGGGCAGTTCTACTCTGTCCTGCAGAGTTGCTATGAGTCAGAACCAACTCGATGGCAATAGATTTTTTATTGGTAACTTACTTTGAGGCAGTGGTAGTTCAGTGGTAAAATTCTCACCTTCCATGCAGGAGACCCAGTTCAATTCCTGGCCAATGCACCTCCTGCACAGCCATCACTCATTTGTCAGTGAAGACTTGTGTGTTGTTAAATTGCTGAACAGCTTTCAGTGGAGCTTCCAGACTAAGACGGACTAGGAAAAAGGCCTGGTGATCTCCTTGCAAAAATCAGCCAATGAAAACCTTATGGATCACAAGGGTTCAATCCCATTTTACTTGGTGTTAACTGAGTTGGAGGCCAACTCTATGGCAGCTAACAACAAATTTAATATACACTCAAACGGAGTAATTGAAATCATATGCTTTGAGAGTCATAGGACTGTGGAGGCAGAGTTGTCTAGGGCAAAATTCAGCATAGAAGTTTGACAAGTTAACCTCTAACATAGTTTCTTCAGTTCTTCAGAGGAATCTTAAAAATAAAGAAAATTACACCCAGATTTTAAGCTTTGTGCGTTAAGCCCATTCTTTCTAATGAAGGAGTTTGAACACAATGACTATTGGATCTCATTATGAGATAATAGCTTCAGAATTTAAGTGAGTTTGAATAGAACAGATTGTTCAAGAACAGCCACAGGAAAACATGAAGCTTGTCTTTGATGCTTCCTGCTGTCCACATTGTGGTCTCCCTGCCACCACTGTGCCCTCTGCTGGAGCTGACCCTCGTGCTCAGTCACTGAGAGCAAACAGGGCCTCGACCTGGCTCACCATCCCATCCCATCAACCCGCATCAGCAGAGGCAGAAGGCTGATGTCAACCCCCACACCTCGGTATGAATTAAGGGTTATCTGCCAGATAAGCTGGATTTAAAGCCCACATTTCCTTATCAATGAAGGATGCTTACCTCTATTCTAGTCATTTCAGGCATTAATATGTTGGTAAAAATTATGATTCAACAATAAGGTAAAGTCTTCCTGACAAGCAGGATACCATATTAATGAGGTGAATCCTGTGTTTGCATAACACTCAAAAAGGTGTTTTCATTATCTGCAGATTGTATACTTCTTACCTGTTCTTACTATCCATGGAGAATCCGACCTATGGGATCAAGCTTTAAATTGATCATTTCTCAAAATATTAAGTGTAGAATTATATTCTGGGTGCCTTTGTTTAAGTGTTTCTTGAATCCAAATAAATAAGCTGGTACGTTTTGCAAACCATGTTATGAATCAGTGAAAAGAGTCCAAAACACAAAGAAGATAGAACCAGAATATTTGACTTCCAGCATTTGTTCTGCCACTTATGGCAGTCTGATTTTAGATCAGCTCTTGACCCTTCTAACCCTCAGTTTCCTACTATATCAGACAGGAATAAGAATATATGCCTTGCCCTCACTGTTTTGTTATGAGAAGTCCAATCAGATAATGTAGGTAAATACTTAGTACATTTATAATATTACTGTTTCTGTCACATAAGTATACCCAGATAGGTAATATATATATAAAAAGATAAAGCAACATGGAGTCACAAATTACCATCATAAAGAATAATTTCTATGTAGACATAAAGAATAGTATATCTTTCATTGACTTATTGTATCCTTACTAACTGTATACCTGCTATGCTAGGAACTATGCTTGGCACTTTATATCATTACCTTTAATACTAACCAAGCCCTTCCTGTTTATTTTCCTTATAACATTGGCTCTTTATATTATGTCCTGTTGTTCACTGTGAACAAAGTCTTATCCACAAGACCAAATACAATTCAATAGTTACCAAGAGTACAGTCTCCTTTGTTTTCCTTTTATTTCATTTAGCAAAACAATATTTAATGTTTAAACAATGAAAACGCACCATTTTGCTTCTGCATTTCAAGTATTAATAATGCATTTCAAAAGTATACCCAATTACTATATATAATTATATCCAAATATTTACATATACCCAATGTAAACATAGCATATATATGCATGTTCAATTATTGTATGTATTCTTTTGAAATACATTGTGAATATTTGTAAGTCAGGAATAACACAACACACACACATGTACATACATATAGTAGAAGTCATATGCAGGGTATTGGGTATGGGCAAAAGATCCCACAAAAATTCTTTAAAAATTGTGGAGTAAGTTAGTTATTAAGTTGGTATATGAAGAATAGGAAAATTTTGAATAAAAGGTTAGAGATTTTGGTTGGAGAAGGGGTGAAGGGTTATGGAGATGGGAGTATAAATAACATAACCTGAATTAGCAGATGTAGAATCTGTGAATGGATAAAAAATTAAGGAGTAATTCAAGTTGCCATAATTAATTATAATTGCATAAATAGTGTTACTAATTACCAGTTGCCATCAAGTTGACTCCAACTCATGGAGACCCCACGTGTGTCAGAGCAGAACTGTGCTCCATAGGATTTTCAATAACTGATTTTTCAGGAGTAGATCACCAGGCCTTTCTTCCCAGGCACCTCTGGGTGGACTTGAACCTCTAACCTTTTGGTTAGCAGCCCTACACTTTAACCATTTGTACCACCCAGGCACCCCATAAATAACACTATAGTTATGTAATTCCAGGTATACTACCATGCATGCGGCTATAGAAGTGATTTCAGTGTTTCAACTGAAATAAATTCTATTCAAAACAAATTCATTTTCATTATACAGATTTTGCTTTAGACCTACAAAAGAATAATACTTGTAAGAGAAAAAATGGTTAATTTTTGTTTGG